TGTGACAGTTTCTTACGCGGCAAGTTAAAATATTTGTGTTGAAATAAATTAACTGAAACTGGCATGGTTATATTAAAAAAATCACTCAAGCAACTGAAAGAATGTGAACATGGGACCAAGCACGATATACAGGGTGTCACAAAAGAAAATTTACACGGTCTTTTTTACCGCAAAAATAAACTAGGCATCGCCGAACGCTCATTCTCCGCCCAAAGGTAGAGCTAGAGGTCACAACCAGACACCAAAGTTTCAGCCCGATCCGATAACTTAATCAAAAGTTATAAGTGGTTTTCTGAAAATTTCAATGGGAAAATGGCAACCGACGGAGTTTTCAAACACATGGGGCTCTATGGCACCAGAAACCGAAAACAGGCAAAAATGGGCTCCATTTTTCCATTGAACTTTTCAGAAAATCACTTATAACTTTTGATTAAGTTATCGGATCGGGCTGAAACTTTGGCATCTGGTTGTGACCTCTAGCTCTACCTTTGGGCGGAGAATGAGCGTTCGGCGATGCCTAGTTTATTTTTGCGACAAAAAAGACCGTGTAAATTTTCTTTTGTGACACCCTGTACAAATCCGTGGAATTCCTAAATAAACCGATAAAGCGAATGCTTATATCACACATGCGATTAAGAACAAAAAACAGATATAGGTGAAATATTGCGAACAAACAAGTTGCCTAATGTTAAGGGATTTTGAGTCAGAACATCCAACGCGTCAAAACATCCATCGAGTCAAAACATCCATTGGTGGATGTTTTGTCTCGATGGATATTCTGACTCGATGGATATTTTGACTCAGATGGATGTTCTGACTCGATGGATGTTTCACATCCATGGATGTGTAGACTCGGATGGATGTTCTGACTCGATGGATGTGTTGACTCCATGGATGTTTAGACTCGGATGGATGTTCTGACTCGAAGGATGTTTTGAATCAATGGATGTTTTCACTCGGATGGCTGTCATGAATATTTTGACGAGTTGAATGTTCTATTGTTTCTTGCCTGAAAGAAAAGAGCTGTTGTGTATAAAAGGCTTTTGACGATGTGGTAAATGTTATGGTGAAACATTTTTCAAGACAGAATGACTCTGTTTAAAAAGTATTTTGCTTCGCCGCATTAATACGAAGGAGAAAAGTTTTTTTTTACATCGTGGTGGGAGCAGCAGAGCGCGCGATGGGCTGGCTCCGAGTCTGCGCGATTGCTCGAGGGACCAAAACATTGTTGTCAATGAATTATGCAACATAAGCCCTTCAGAAAAATTAATTTCACCTCGCCAGTCAATTGCTTTTATTTTTGTGTTGAGCCTCTGAATTGTTTCAAGACACTCTTGTGCCACACGTTTGGCGTGATCAATAACGTTATTCCGAGAGAATCGTAGCTTTATTTCCTGTGTGTGTGTGTTTTTTTTTTAATTTAGTTTTCCTCTCGGACAAAACGCTCTACATGGATTTGCTCAATTGTTTATAAAATTAGTTTTTAAATTACGGAAGCACTATTGGAACAAATGTTGCAGTTTTGTTTTTAATGTATTCAAACTTTTTAGGTATTCCTACCCTGTCTTAGTGTCTATACACTCATTTTTGCCCCGATTACTACTACCAGACGCAACGTAGTCCATATTGCTCACATAAAGTCATATGGTTGAATAAGACTCCGATACATCGTGAAACAGCCAAACAGTTTTTTTCAAGGAAACTGGCCCATGCGTGCTGTTCAGTTCATTCTACGGAAGAACTCCAAGGATTGTAATTTTGTCCAGATGGTTAAGGACATCCTGAAATGTCGGAAGTGCAGATGACAAGTAGCCTGAAAACAGGGCCGTTTCCTCTTGCAACCACTTTACAATGCTAATTTTGACCACGAACGTCAAAATATACTCAGTAACAAAACTATAGTCGGTTGCAAGCTAAGAAAAAACCGGAAATGCCTCTCAGAGGAAAATGTAATCCTACGCCGAGAAACGCCAGCCAATCGTTTTCATGACGTCACGATTCCGTAAACCAATCGCGATCCTTTTTAAAAAAAAGAAAAGCCCAACATGGCTGCTGGCCTTAGCAACGTGACGCTAGTTTCTCGTGACAATTATTCTGCTTTTTTGCACCGTGTTTTACGTGCCCGAGGTAACGCCACGAAATCTTAATGGTATCGACTTGCGTTTGCAGCAGTTTTTGCGCGACAACGTGAGAATCCAGCGACGCTATCGCCAACGAAAATTTCGAAGCGGGCGCGAGGCTTAGCACTGCTGAGAGGTATGTTAGACGGTATGTTAGACAGTATCTTGGACAGAAAATGAATTGGGAAGACGGTACATTGGACATGACTTTCTTTCTTTACTAAACAGCTATTTCGTTGAAAAAAACATATTCTAACTTATTTAAATGTCCTGAATGAATTAAATAAATATTGTAGTAGTTTAAGACGCGTTTCCTGGAGGAAGAAAAAGCACCGTTGCTAGCGAACTACTTTCTCCACGGCGGACGCTCTTCAGATGGGCGCAATGCGCTTGTGGGTGGAGCTAAAAGATTGTTCTTAGGTTGCATCCGACTATAAACACGAAAATGAGGGACCCTGCATCATTGACCAAATTGGTTGATCAAGTGTGTCGCCGAAACTGACACTTGGCGAAATTCGCAGCCTCGAGCCGGCAAAAAGTTATACATATATATATATATATATATATATATATATATATATATATATATATATATATATATATATATATATATATATATATATATATATATATAATTTTATTTAAATAATAATGCTTTTAATCAGATGAAAGTTTTGACTCTAATGGATGTTCTGACTCGATGGATGTTTTGACTCAGATAGATGTTAGACTCTGATGGATGTTCTGACTCAATGGATGTCTAGACTCGATGGATGTTTAAACACGGATGAATGTTCTGACTCGATGGATGTTTTGACTTGATGGATGTGCTGACTCGATGGATGTTTCACATCCATGAATGTTTAGACTCGGATGGATGTTCTGACTCGATGGATGTGTTGACTCCATGGATGTTTAGACTCGGATGGATGTTCTGACTCGATGGATGTTTTGACTTGATGGATGTTTCGACTCGGATGGATGTTTTGACTCGTTGGATGTTCTGACTTTGGTGTCACGTGACCTCTTGGATGTTTTGACTCGATGGATGTTCTGACCCAATGGATGTTCTGGCCATAAGCGATGTTAAGGTACCATTATTTCTAGCATAAAAAAATAATTCAAACTAAATGTTTGTTCCCGGCCGCGTCTTGGCCACAAATTCTCTAGTGTAATCAAAAGAAACTGTTTTCGATCTGTTGTAACAACAAAACACCATGTTTTGAGAAAAAACACGTGGCTAATTACGCTGAGTGTCTTTATTTCCTTCCTTCACACCAATGCGCACTCATATATATAAGAACATTGGGTTTCCTATTGCAAATGTTCCGCCCTTATTAGTAACCAAACCTCAGTTTTCATAATTTATTGGTATTTGAACCCTCGAGGTTCTCTTCAAGTCATATATGTATTCAATGTGCGCAAGTGCTAACGCCGATTCCTGTTCCTATAAAACCTTTTCACACGTATCCCGCACGCCGACGGTAAAAAATATTCAAAACGTGTTACAAAATCAACTACAGAAGTTGCGCGCATAATGATGTAATGCAACTGCATGGTAAGTATAAGCATCGGAAGACACTTTACGGAGTAAGGCAACTTGCAAGAGACGCGGCGAAACGCGACGAAAAACACGAATTCAACGCATCTGCCAAGGCGCGGAAGGGAGAGCGGAGCAACAAGTTGAAGCAACCTAATGGCGGCCGCATCACGTGATTCCAAAATGGCAGCGCCCATGCGGCGGAGGGTGAAAAGGTCTATAGTTTACCCATGGCCGTTGCTCTCAGGAGCGAGTGCTTCAGCTTATGAAGTAACTCCCGCCGCGCAAAAAAAAAGTGGTTTCGTTTCCTAACATGACGGCATGGCTGGTACCCCAGCACGTTAGCGTCGGAGCGTCTGCACACGCCCGCGTCTATCGTTAAAAACAAAACAAAAAAAAAAACGAGACAACGAGGGCGCGCAGCGATACATGGCAGGAAAATCCGTGCAAGACCGGATGAACAATTGATGCAGGGTACTTTGTGTCGGGCGGCCGCTTGCGCCACCTAGTTCACGCGTGCTCCATTACGGTACTAAGTTTAGTTTCGGTTTAGAAAGGCGACCAAAATCGGTCCCTTGGCGCAGGCTTGGCGCAGATTACCCATATTTTGGCAAAATGTAGCAGGATGTAGCAGGGCGAGCTCCTTGGCGCAGTTTGGCGCAATCGGCGCAGCAATCACATCACTGCAAAAGTATTCAGACCAAAGGCAACAATAGAGAGAAGCTGCGGTGGATAAATCCGAAACCGCCGACGCCCGGGAGAACAAATTGGCTTTTTGAGGACGAGGAACGCCTGCGTTAAATGCTAATGTATTTCGTCGAGAATTAGCGTAGCAACGGCGGCAATTTTGACACGATTTGTTTCGTACACACCTGGATAGAAGATGCATGTCACAAAATGAAAAATAAATTTATATTGCAATATTTAAGTCGCAACACCGAAACGAAACTTGCATTGTTCTTCCCCCAAGGGGCTTTTAATTACCCCCATACTTATTTTCACCTCAAGAACCATAGGAAAAAAAAAGTCTGACTCCTTGCGAAGCATTACTAATTTCCTCCTTTATGTGGACTTTTAAGATATATGTAGGTGCATTCATTTTAGATTTAGGTATGTGTTATGTTACCAAGACATACACCTTTCAGACGTCAAAAGCGTTGCTTCGTCCTTGGACAACCAAATCTTGTAAGAACTATTTCGCGCAGTTTTTGAAATATCCGCAAAACTTGATTTTTTCTTGGGGTGACAACGAGTAGAGTTATGGATTAACCAAGAAGTATGTAGCGACTCGCCCATTTGACACGGTGCTCTTTTGTGCGGTTTTCTGACCCAAGACTCACCAGCAATTGGACCACCTGGGGTGACACCTGAGTGAAGATCTCAATCACCTCGTTCCTACGATTGGCGCCCAGCCTCAGTGATCGGCTGTTCACCTGCGTGATGACAACAAAAAAAAATAAAACTTCAAACCCCATTGATACAGCGCTCGGCAGTGCTCAATCCACGGGGGAATTATATGTATTGATGGTGCACTAAAGGGACACTGAGGCGGTCCTGTATTTGAGAAAAAAACCATTTCAATGGCCTTTGTTCGGCATCCAGAATCACTATTATCGAGATTATTTTTCAATTTAGTAAACGAAGGCTGCAGAAATTAATTTTTGAAGTACCATCGAAGTCTGTAATCAATTTCAAGTAATCAACTATACATTTTAAAAAGAGCTAATATTACCGAGTTGCGTTTTTCTAGGTAAAAAAACTGCTCTGTCTCGCCCCTGTCACTCGAATGTTGCACATACGTTGCACATTTTTTACCCCTAAACAACTAAAAAAAGATACCAATATATCAGAAGGATTAGAATGTCAATGCGCTCAGCAATGTTTTGACTGTCGAGCTGTCGCTGTCGAGAGTGTCTCGTTTCCTGTGTGTGGGTTGTTACAATCCGGGTTTACCACGGCATAGACGACTGTGTTTTGCCACTGACCTCATCCAGCCACAAGAGACCCCCCTTTTCCATCTCAGAAGAGTTGACCAGCACATGCTTGTATAGATACTAAGAACAGAAGACCATATTAGCTACAACTCTTTTTTGTTACTAGACCGGGGCTTCTAGTCATCCAGCAGGTGACTGTTTATTTGAACTTCTCTCTCTATCTCTATTCCTGGAGTAAGCGAAAAACGGCCCTTAAATTCCCATTGGCTGAGCAAAATGACAGTTAAATTCCTATTGGCTGCGACGCGCCATGTGACTCCATAGCAACGGCGTCATTGTTGTTAAAGGAGCTGTGCAACGATTTCAGTGCTTTGGGAGTTGGTGTCTCGACCTTTCTGAAGAACAAAAAACCGCCTTTGCCTACATGTCCTAGTTTTTATTTTAAAAATGGACAAAGATCGAGGTTTACACTTGTTAGTGAGCGCGTTAGTTTTTGGCACCTCTCAACTCCTTCACCATCTTACGAGTCACGTGAAGTGTGACGTCAGTGGGGGTCGCGTGAGGTTCCGGTGAAGCTCTCTCTCAAGAGCCATTAGTGAGCAGCAAGAACTCAACCGCTCGCGACCGCATGACCACGTGCTGGCGCAGCGCGAACAACATGGTGAAAGGAGGAAAGTCTCATCCGAATCTGGCCATCCCCGTCCGGCTCTGTCCCCCTCCCCTTTCGGTTTCTGGCGGCTGTTCGCATTAGCAGATAGAGCTGACGGTTTTGTGGACTTCAGATAGATGGCGCCACTAAAACTCCATATAATAAAAGTTTTGTCGATGATACCAGGTTTTTGACGCATTTATATTTATGTTAGAACGACAAGATTTATAGAAAAATTACCTTTTATCGAGCTGGTATTTGCAGAACTTGCTATCATTGTACAAGTCCCCCATTGACGTCATGCCGCATGGTTCTCAAGGTCGCCGTCGCGACTGCAGGGCGGGGAATATTCTAATTTTGTCCTCGCGATTAAGCAGCGGAATCACAACATTTCGAAGGAAAAAGATCTGTTTTCCGTCCTTTGTGACAAGATAAACAATGTCAAAAGTAGAAGATGCCAATTCTTTCAACGTTAAAATCGTTGTACAGCTCCTTTTAAGAGCCAGCTTTTAAGAGCAGCGGGAAGGGGGGGTGCGGGTATGCGCTGGTCTGACGTTAGGCATCACATTAGGCCTACCGTTAGGCCTCTCATTACGCTGAGGTCTAATGTTGTGAACCGGTAAGCGCAGCTGTTTGACGTGAGGGTGGGACGTGGGTATGCGCTAGCCTGACGTCAACCGGTACCTGTAGCTAGGGCAATGATAATGATGCGAGGACACACGATTTCAGCACGCGCCGCACCGAGGTTCGCACTCCCGGCGCCGTTGCAAGCTTCGCACTCCCGCCACTGCCTCACCTAGTGGCGCAGCAGTCGCCAGCGAGCCAGTGAGGTCCACGCGCAGTGTTGCCAGACGAAGAAAAAAAAAGTCAGCAGATTAATCTCCAAAAAATCTGTAGATTTGTACAAAAATCAGTAGATTCTACGAAATTTGTGTTTTGGCATCCTTTGCCATTAGCAATAAACCATTTTTCGAAGAAATACTATAGAGCAAAAAATAACATGGTAATAAACACAAATAAAGTACGAAAAAACAAGAACAGTTCTCGAGTAATTCTTTATAAAAAAACAAAGTAAAATGGCACCGTGAATATATATATATATATATATCTTATCAGCATTGACTAGTGTTGCGATTTCGAGGATTATTCGTTGAAATCGAGACTGAGTCACTTTTGGGATCAACAGATGAGGGCGACAGTGGGACATCCACCTGTCGGTATTAGTGAAACGAAACCAAAACAAGACGTTCCAGCAAGTGCGCGCGTGTATGTTCATTTTATGTCCTCTGCAAGCTGCCATTTTTCCTTACTGGGCTGTGGAAGGTTTTTGACGCAACGCTGTCGGCGCGGAGCACTGTCGAGGCTACGCGTCGTCTGCTGCGGGCTTATATCTTTTTCGCCTGACTCAAAGTTTGCGTTCGCATGTGGAGAAACTTAATTCGTTATCTTTTTAAGCCACCGAAAAATAACATTATATTATTTTCTTGCCAAAGCCTGGCAAATAAAAGTTAACAACCGAAATATGGATGTCGATCCCATGCATACTGCCGGGCGAATGAATGAAAATGGCGGCACTCCCCGCTCAGCTGGAAGCAGCCGAGAGTTCATGCGCATGCGCTCACACCTCTCGCTTTGCGCCGCAGGCTGATTGGCTCACTCGGGAGGGAGACGTTACGGCGGCGAGATCATAGACTGGCCCATGGAGAATAGAAGGGTAGGAGAGGGCATGACGTCGGCCGCGTAGCCTCCACAAGCCATGCTCCCTTGACGCCTCGCCTCTTTCTCATTTTCCTCCTTACTCTCCTCACTTACCATGCCAACGTGACCACATCACGTGACCGTAGCTAGCCTTCGTCTTGCTATGGAGTACTAGAATACACCACAGTCTAGCCTTCGCTCTGATAAAACCTACCGGACGGAGCGCGCGCAAGCCTGCAAGGAGCCCATCTACAATCAACCATCCATCTCACACGTGACATGTCACGCGCACCAATCGCCAGAGAGATCTGCGGTCACGCTGGGCACAAAATCGTTTAAACTTTTTATGACTAGGCTTCACCAATATTGCAACGTGCCCCCTCCTAGTACTTCTAACCTCCTTGGACTGGCCAAACTCTCCGCCTATATGGCTCTGGCCCGGATGTCACCGTCGAACCCAACGTTGGTCGAACCTGCTCTGTATGAATAGATATGAATATACGGTTAAATCGCTCGAACAGGTTGGGTTTCTGGGCCGTCCAGCCAGTGCTTCGTTTTTAATTGTGGTTGAATATGAGTTTCCTTTGATGGGCGACCATGGGAACTGAGGGGGCCTAATAATAAATGTTTAATATGTTTACTAAAAAAAGTCAGTAGATTTTCTTCTTTTTCAGTGAATCAGTAGACCCGGAACAAAATCAGTACATCTACTGATAAATCAGTAGACCTGGCAACACTGTCCACGCGGCACACTGCGGCCGCTTCTGCTTCTCTCGGCGCCGAGAATGCTTTCGCATTCACAACTCATAAGAAGAGCTTAGGTGCCCTTGGAATTTTTAAGTATCGTCCTCTCGTGTCGGTTTCAAGCAGCCGTATGAATGTTAAACAGTCAAATTTATTGATGATAATAAAATACACCTAATTATTGACTCAAGATTTGACAACATAAATAAAGGACCGATCACCTAAAAGATTACATCATAAGTAAATGCTCCCCAAATTATCTGAAAGATGCTCTGCACATCATTTCCGGCATCTTGATCCTTGATAGGTGCGTGTATAAGTGATTTGAGAGAGCCTTAAAAAAATTCCAGATTTTTAAGCTGATTAAAATAACTATGTGTTACTCACACATATATAACTTCTCAAACATATAGAAGTCCATTATTGGCTCTTTTATGTTATGAATAGCAATTTTATATGTCTGTGGACTGGACAAAAAACAAAGTACACAAAGGCGCGTGGCGGAATTATGATGGATATTCACGCAGATAGTCAGAAAGTGACCAATTAAGTAGCCGCCATGTCAAAATGCTACTTCGTTCCATTTAACAAAAAAATCATTAATTAGCAGGGGTGGTGCTTATTTGCGAATTAAATTGACCGGCATCTTGTTAAGGACAAACGTCAACAGCCAGGCTTCCAGTTTGTCCTGTGTCAGAAAATGTTTACTAGGATATGTGCTAGTTTGAGCCAGATTTGATCCCAGTGTGAGGGTGCATATAAACTAGAATGAACAATTCTGATCACTCCGTTCTGCATGATACTTTAACTGCATCACGGTGCTGAGTATAAACAATGTTGTTGAGGAAAAATAGTGTTGCGATTGTTGCTCAGTGTTTCTATAAAGATAGACTGAAAGAGCTTGCCCTAAAACTTCCGTGACAATGAAAAATTTATTGCGTTTAGCTCAGTAGCGTCGTCATCATATATATTGTATGACGTATTTCGTAAACTATATTTCCCGATATATGTGGCGACAAGGTTCCTATTCCATGATTTTATGCAGTGCAATTAATTCCTTAGTTCAAGAGCACAGCTACGGTTCAACTTTGTGGGAACCCATCGTGTTCCTTTCCACAGCATCAGGCGCCGCTGATGCCATGTGGAGATAACACCAAAAGGGCATTGCCGAAGTGGACAATCTTGTGCCCACAGCAGCACTGCCTGAGGATGATAAGCTACAAAAGAGACTGAGAGACAATGGTTAGGACTCTCGGCTGCACGGGTAAACGACAATAGCTGCCCGGCTTCTTGACCACAGGGCTTTGATTGTTACCGCAAGCCGGCGACCTGCCCGGAGATGCGGGCTTCCCCTGGATGACACCGCCCATCGAAACCAATTTGGCCACTTGCCCAGAACCAAAGCTTTCTATGGACGACGTTAGCGCGCCGCCAGACCACCAAGAAGCCGACCCATGACGACGTTTGCGCGCCGCCTGCCGACTGCCTGGACACTGACCAGGGTGTATAGCAAATTATTATTTTGAAATTCCCTGACCTTCCCAGGTTTTCCCTGACCACTGTAGGGGCGGTTAAATATATAAGACCATTACCACACAAGGCATTGAGCACTGTGAGGATCATTTTGGACGGGCTTAATCCAACTTGCCCATTCCGAAATTTCAGGTTCGTCCAGTCCGGATTAAATGAGCCTTTCTTGCCGCCGACGTTGTCAGTGAAGAGGCCACTTCCGAAAGCACAATGAAAACACGACACTGAACCACACAAGTCAGTAACTGAATGACAACATTGCCGCCAGATGCACCTTCGGATACTTTCGGCTTAAGGCTTGAATAGGATAGGATTATGCAGCTTTTCTATTTGTTACTAAATCTAGTAGCTCTAACTGGATCTAGCCTAGTGTCGCGCCCTCAATCCAATCCAAGGCTTGGACTGGATTTGCCGACTGTTCCCTTTGCATCGGGTAGCACACTCTGCATCGGGTGGGCAGAGCCCACGCTCCACTCTAAGCAGAATTTATTGCCTATTTCTCTGCCCCCAAGTCCTCAAGTCTGCTCAGGGCACTCTACGGCGTTTCTGGCTCATTTTCCCTGACAGGGCTCACTTTCTGACAATATCTCCGATTTTTCTCGGTAATTAAAATTTCCCTCACAGTTCCCAGCTTTCCCGATTTTCCTGGCCGATAGACACCCTGTTGGTGAGGGGCTTGCCGTGCAAACATTATGATGGGTTAATAAACCGCCTAGAGCGTGTGTCATGTCCAACCGAAAAAGGGGCATTAAAGAACCAACCACAACTTTTCCTACTGCAACGAAAAGTTGCAGCAATCACGGGTATCTTAGGTGACCTACCGCACTCGTGACAATTTTTTGATTCAGGTAAAATACATGTGGCCGAGGTAAACAAATGGATGTTGAGTTGTATAAATAAGATGTTCTGTATGTTAATCCAGATTTTCATTTACTGTTGGGATGAAATTAATAACGCAATTTCTTATTTTTGGTACCTAAAAATAAAACGATAAAAAAATTACACAGTTACTTGTTTTATGGCGGAAATAGTGCCTATTGCCAAAACAATGGAGGAAACATATTTTCACTTCGGTGGTTCAAACCGGTTACACCGGTTTGAAATAACTTGAACCCTTATTCTTGCTCTCCAGAACTGATCCGGAACTGAATGGCAAGCCGTGAACCCAAACCCAAACCGAACCGATAAAAATTTCAGTTCGACATCCTGCTCAGGACTAACTAATACAGTTGAACCTCGATTTAACGAAGTCACCGGGACCCGCTAATTATTTAGTTAAATCAGGAACTTCGTAAAATCGAGGAAGGGAGACCTCGCGCATAGGCTGCACAAGGAATCCAAATTTGTTTGTTAAATCGGGAAATTTGTAAAATCGGGTTTTGTAATATCGAGGTTCAACTGTAGTAAGCACACACTACCTGACCCGGAAGGGGCTCCCCTTTTTACGATTCCTCGCACAACACAAGTTTCAAGACTGGTCTAAGAGGAAGCGCTTCTTATTCACGAGCAAACCCAGGGTTCATACAGGCTTCAAAGAAAGAATTCAAGGGTTTTCAAGGACTCTTAAGGGGACCTGTAAAGATATTTTCAAGGACCCCTTATAATACTTTATCTAGGAAATTCATAATAAAACAACTTTTTGAAATGCAATGCAAAATGTCTTTATTGCACAATACCTAGGAAAAGGCACATTTGCCAAATAGGTGCTGGTAAAGGGGTCAGTAGAGCTACTGCAGCTTTTCCCCCGATTTCCTGGTTGATTTTTAGAAGTTCTTGCATCTTTGTTTTTGCCATTTTCCTTCGGCTGTTCAACTTGACAACGATAAAGCGCGAAACACATGTACGACGAAATCGTCTGGTCGGCCGTCCGATCCAACAATACGACGGTCAGAGGAGAGGGTTTTCAATGCTCTCCGGTGCTACGAAAACCCTCGCCCCCCAAAGTCATTCCGGCAGTCCGCACGTCGGATCGGACGGTTTTATCGTACATGTGTTTCGCGCTTAAGTCGAACAGCCCAAGGAAAACAATGAAAATGTAGGCGATGTCATTTGTTGCCTCTGCTTTCTTGGTGTCTGTAGTTGTCGTGACCCAGCTACGACTGCTGAAAGTTGCACTTTTCGGGCATTGCACGCTATTTAAACCATGTCCACCATGTGTAGTGTAAAAGAGATCAGATGTGGAAGTAACAAACCAGAAGTAGCTAGCAAACAGTAAGCGAGGACAAGGCGAACGAGGGGCAAGATCACAAGATGGCGGACGGGCAAGACCGGATCAAGAACCACTGGGACTGCTACCATAGTGGCCGGGCGCTTAACAAACTTCATCGTTGAAATTTTAAAATTTATGCTAACATGCACGCAAAAAAGATTATTACATTTATTAAATTTTAATATTGTGAACAAAATTCATTATTGTGCAGAAAAACTGGCTATTATTGAAAAATTTAAGGGTTTTTAAGCACCACTAGATATTCCAGGGCCCTCAAGGCCTGGAAAATACTGTTTTTAAATTCAAGGGTTTTCAAGGCTTTCAAGGACCCGTGCAAACCCTGAAACCAGTCACGTCAAGGAGAACAAGAAAAACTGTTGACGGGAGAAATACGAGCTTCTAGTCCACCCACCTCTTCGGGGAGGACTGTGAGCACTTCCAACAAGACTCCGACGTGTGGTAAGCTGTTGCCAAAACTGGAAAGAAAGAATGCAGGCCAGACCATCTATTGTAAAACTTCCTCACTTTGCCATACACTAAAAGAACAAACATCAAACAAAATTCTCGGGCTGTTTGGTGCTTATCCATCCGATCATGCAGAAATCAGAAGTATGAAGGCTTCCTTTGTAACGTGAGCGGAGGCTGAAAGCAAAACAGGGTAGTCAGTTACGAAGAAAACTTTTTACCTCGTAATTAAGTCTACAATTGGAGATTTCCAGGTGGCCATTTGAAGGGCAAGGTCAGCCATTGCCAGGGAAAGCTGAAAGAAAATACAACATTAATATATTGTTAACATTTAACAATTTAGTGAGCTTCCGGAGATACAGACGAGTCATGTCCAAGGAAGAGAGAGGGGCAAAGCGGTACCTGCTGCCCATAGAAAATGTTAGTAAATGGTGAAGCCACCGTCATTCACATTCTAACCACAACATTCAAATGAATCAATCAAATTTGGAGTTTTACGTGCCAAACCAACGACAGGGATCTTTGACGCCTTCTCCGCAAGCGCCGGCCTACGGATCCTCTACCTGGGGATCCGTAGGCCGGCGCTTTGCCTAACCCAAACGTTAAAACGTGCAAAGCTGCTAGTGGTGCACCAGACTTCGGGATAAACTGGAACATCTACCCGTTTTAAGAATACAAACAAGAGTTGAGCATTTACAGCTAGGGTGACCATAATCTACAATGCAGAAAACGCGAAGTATATGGGGGGGAGCCAACACCATTTAGAGTCAAGGACGTCACCAACGTCAGAAGCATGAGGCGATCCTGGAAGCAGGGCTTCACCTTAGGCGTCTCCTTGGGTTTTTCCACTTTTCTAGCCTCCTTCCTTTCCGGACTGTCAACTATCGCCAGCTATTCGAACACCGTGGTAGCCATAGTGCCGTATTCAAGATGTTGCTAAAAATGTTCACCCGTTTGTACAAGTTTGCATTTTCATAATAAAAAGAATGCTAAATCTTAATTTTATTCCTGAGGTAGAAATTGCAAGTTTGTATATTCTCTACAATGAAAGAAAAGAAACTACTGTCGTGACCCAGAGGCCGACTGTCGGTTTCCACCGCCATTGGGCTTGAAAGTTGAAACAGCATGGGTGTCCACGTGTCGACTTGGGGTATTCAATCATTCCTTTCTGGGTGTTCTTTCGTGCGTTTGTGAGATTCGAGTGTCAACGAAGAACATAGAGGCACTGCAGAAGAGGATATGCATAAAAGTCACCGGCGAGCTCAAGCACGACGACGACGTCTTCGGTTATGTAGTGCACTGTCAGCTTCCAAGTGTTTTCCGTTATGCAGCGTTCATGGCTTGCTTCTTCCATTAATATCATGTGTGCAGGTTTATCTGTGATTTTTTATGCTACGGCTTCTGTGTTCTGTTTCGGCCCAATCTCGAGAGACTGAACGTACCGTATTTATTCGAGCAGTAGCCACACTGTTTATGAAGAAAACCTAAGGGTTTGCATTTCCGCGGAGCATGCGGCTTGCCAATCACCGGGATCGGCAGCATGATTCCAGCTGTTTACAGGACAGAGATAACGTCTTCGCGCAAAGATACTATCTGTGAAAATTGGAATTGTATGGAGAATCGTGTTCTCGATCTAGTTATTCGCTATGTTATTTATGCGCAACGCGATAATTGGCTTTATATGTGTTCTGCGGGAAATTAGACGCAAGGGTCTTGTTCATAAATAGTGCGGCTATTACTCAAGTAAACACGGTAGTCTCTTGCGCAATGTCGAGAGGCATCAATCAGCCGTTGTCTGAGGTAGTAGTACCCAAATTCACTTGTGGTGGTGACTTCACTGCATGAATACCTTTAGGAGGTAAGAACTCTTTATGCCAATGGGATCACGCGTCCGTATATCTGTTTTTATCAAGACCTCAGTCTCTCGTTGGAGCTACTCGCTCAGGAAGGTTGTGCTGTTCTGTTGATGTGTCAGTAGCGGTGCAAGCTAGTCGTCCAACTCAAAAAATATGTTTTTGGGCAATAAGCGATAAAAATAGTGAGCGGTCATAAGTGTGTCAGTAGTACAGCTGCGATTAACTTGATTCACCGAATTAAACTCGATTAATTAAAAATAAACATAGAAGGTTGGGGTAGATATCAACTTTTTGAAAAATAATGTTTCCCTACTTATATTCGCTGTCATTTTTCTTCCCACCAATAAAGTAACTTTACGCTGTTTTATCTTGAAAGAAGCAAAATTCCTAACCAATGCGTTATTGCTTTTGTAGGCAATACTTTCCGTTAGCATTTGGTTCTCTATGCAATACGTTGCAACTACAAACTGTTTTGTCATGTCGCAATATTCGGTGTCATGCCATTTTATGAGAATTATTCTCCATAAAACATCCGTCTTTCCGAGCAATATTTACATTACTGAAGAAGTTTGCCTCAAAGCAAACCCATGTTCCCCAAGGCATCATTGTGCACATATTATCTGCATTAATAAAAATTCATAGCTATGAATGTAAATCGCAATGCTTACATGTCGGAGCTGTTCCGCGGCACCCAATCGCTTTCCATGCACCATTATTTGTTTCCTAGAACATCTGTTAGTTCTAAGCTACTTTATACATAATAAAACATGTTTGTATCAATAAAAACTTGTTTTTACGACGATATATTTATGCGCGACGCCTTTATGTCAGCACTATCCCGAGGCACCCGGCCCAACTCGATCGCCTCATTGCGGCGACGTCGCGGAAGGAGCGCTCCTGCCTTGACTCTATGTGGTGTTGGTGGAGCGGGAGCAAGGTTGAAAAAACAGCAAGCTGTGCTACTTCCCAGTCCACTCTACAAATGCACGTTTTCACAAAGATTTTCATTTAGTTGAGCACACAAGTGCCTCTCCTTCATTTTTAAACAAAGCCAAAACATTCCAAATGTAGCAACATAGAAAAGTGTCCCAAACAAACGTCTGTAAAAACAGAAAGTATTGACAGATGGAACCACAAAAAAAGCTCTAAACTTACTCCACGGAAGGTAACATTGTTTAGGGTATGTTTATTTTTATAAAATGTATTATCTTTTTGATTTCTTCCCCTCGCTTGGCACTCATTTCGCAACTATGCATGCACATACGAACAAAAACAGGGTGTGAGGCTTCATTGAGGCAAAATGAAAGGATGGCAGAAATGCACCTCTAACGGGACTGCCCTGGCCAAAACGGGACGTCTTGTCACCTTATTTATGGCCCATCTTTGTTTGGAAGGCTGCGACATCTTTGAGACCAGGAAAGTTGGAAGTTGATTGCCGTTGTACGACAGAAGGTATCAGGGGGAGGTTGCTTTCATTTCATGCATCCAACATCTGCTGCTATTCTATTATTACATTATTACTAGTTTTTGGAGTCGACTTCAAGTCAGCAGGAGAGGTCACGACACACAGTGCCGTTATCGCGCCATCCCACGATACACAATCAACCAGTACATTTTCCAACACACTTTAGATAGGGACGAGGAAACTTGAGAAGCCAGGGTACCCCAGAGGGTACTCTGGGGAACCAAGTTTCAGAACCTAAGCTTTTGTCCACAAAGTACGCGAAAGCTCGAAGAAGTAGGCTTTTTAGATGTGATAAGGGCAAAGTATGAAAAACTCAGAGGTGGAACCCATGAAATCTACTTGGGATCAGCCATGGAAGCAGCTGAAACAGCTGTTTTGGAGCAGGTTGGGAGCAGCTAAAACTACATTCTGGAGCAGGCTAGGAGCAGCTCAGATCAGTTTTCATTGCACTTCAGCTTGTGTCTTAGACAAGCACAGGAGCAATTTCAATTGTGCTTAGCAGCACAAATGAACATGAGTGGTTAGGGACCTAGGTAGTTGGGATAAGAGTGTAACAGATGCGAAAACTTTAAACTTTGTGAGGCTTAATGAGAACCAAAAAGCAAGTACCATATGTTTCTGGAGATTGTGTCCTTGATATTTTCTGAGTGGCTTTCAGCTGCTCAAAATGCAAAACAGCACTGCTTATCGCACAAACCACACATGCTCGACACAGTAATTAGAGGTGCGCACCATGTGACGGGCATAAGCAGCGGACGTGCAGTTGCGCGGAGGAACAGGGTAACACCATTTCGAGTTTATCCTATTGTGCACCTCAATATCGAAGCAGCAGACTACGATTAACGAAGTTATCATATTCGAAGTAATAAGCAGGAGCAAGGTTAAAGTACGCCGAGCAGATCTACCGCTCGCATAAAAGCTGCTGGCCGGCAAGGTTTCGGATCGGACCGCGTTTCAGTTCTATCAAATCACGATTTATCTTGCGGGAATGCCGTTCCAACTTCTAATGAGAAAGTACAGAAAGGAATCTTTCGCTCATTCGTTTTCGACTGGCTGACGTCCGGATCCCGGGCCGCGGAGCCTCTGGAAATCTGACGCTTAACAACTCGACCTCGCCTCGGCCGACCTGCTTAACCGCATACGGTTAAAGAATAACAAACCAGTTGAAGGTGATGTAGCGCTTGGAATCCGACCCCCGAGCTTTCTCCGCGCGGACCCAACTCGGGATACACAGGGAGAACAAACAGAAGAAAGGACTGCAGGGCCGACCAAGCTAAACGCGCTCATTGTTGCCAATCGAGTCGACAGAAACCGAAGCTAAGACAAAATACAATTTTTTTGGCGCACGTTTTGCGATGTGGTGTATCATGTGGCGCAGCTTCCGCAACATGGCGCAGGACGGCACAAAAAAATGCGTCTGGCGCAAAATGGCGCAATGGGCGCAGCCGTTCCACCCCTCAAAACTTGAAGCAGAACAGCCGAAAGAAACGTGCCTGGGTGACAATGACAGGGGCAGTCTGTTCGTTGACCCTGCTCAGATGGCCCATGAGGGAGTCCCGCAGGGAAGCGTGCGACTCCACGGGCAGCTCGTGGAACACGTACTGGATCTGCAGTTCAAACGGTCCGCGTCTTCGTCCACATTCGTAACGAAGCCACATCGAGGCACATACACTGTTTGTGAAACCTGAAACTAGGAAATGACAGAGAAGAAAATATAACGGATATGATTTACCCCCAGAAACAAAAAGTCAGTGGCTGTGCACTGTGATAATCTAGTCGATCTACTCAAGTCTGAGACGGGCGATACAAATTTAACTTTGACCGTCTCGTCGACCGATTACTGCCTCCGTCCACGTCCACATTCGTCATGGGACCAAATTAAAACAAACACACGCACATCGTTGTAAAACCTGAAATTAGACAATAGTGAAAAGTAAAAAACCAAGAGCTGTAATTTATACTCAGAAATGAAGGGTTGAGTTCAGTGTTTGTGCACTCTGATACTCACATTGTGAAACTTACGTTGTGTTACTCGAGATTGAGCTGAGCGATATGAATTTTATTCTAACCGTGTTATTGGCCGGTTACTGCAGAGAGCATACTGAACTTGAATGCACAACTCTAACAGTGGAGTGCAACGGCTAAACGAGTGCCAACCTTCAGGCAATTCCGAATAAATGTTCAAATTCCGAAAAAACAATAAGCTTTCCAATCACCAATGTGGCTGACAACACTGCGTGGTAACACCCAATGAGGAGGTTAGAAGACTAGTGGAAAGTTCTAGAGAACCTTGACAGTACACAAAATTGGTGGGTTGGACAATTTAATGGGAGATGGAATTTAAATCAAAATTCAAAGGAGCTAGGTTCAAGCCTAGGTGGCACAAGCTACTGCCCACTAAAAAGGATGCAGTCAATATCATCCATCTATTCACATTCAATATAAGAAAATATGACATTCAAACCTTGGTACGCATCGTCTGTGCGGCAAAGTAGCAGGACTCCAAGTCCAGGTTCTGCTGCAGGAGCTCATCGGCGATCTTCCACGCACAAACCTAGAAGATTGGTGACAATGCGTAAAAGCGTGCAACCAACTTTGCAAAGCAGCAACAGAAGAATGTGCCTCATTACTGCTCCCATCCAAAGATACTGGCTTATGCAGTATGCAGGGTATCGGAACAAAACGAAAACCAAAAACGAAAAACGAAAAAAACGATATTTTTTGACGGAACGGAAACGTAATCGAAACGTTATTTATTATTTTGTTCCGGAGTGAAACCGAAAAAATTTCTTATCGGTTTTCGGTTCAAGGGAAAATATCAGGTATTTCAGTAATTCGTTTCACGCAGCGAAGAGACAGCCGTTGGTTTGTACCATAATTAAAGAGAAGACAAGCAAGCCATCGCCCCCGCGTCTAAACTCCGGGCGAACAAGCATAGCAAAAACAAAGACAAAAAATACAACGAGAAACAAAAAACATGACGCAAGGCGCCATTGCTTCCCACCAATGAGAGCGCGGTGGCGCGACGCCTCCACACGCTCGCAATGCTCTCCTTGGCTTTTCCGCCCTCTCCCTCCATGCTTTCTTCGGACGACACAGACAGACAACAGATCACGGCAAGCGCGGGAAGTTTGTGACCCGGCGTTGTAGAAGTCCATCTTTTGTTTTTCTACGGTTACGGCAGTCTGAGACTCTGTTGCAAAAGTGTACTTCTTGATCCCCATGAGCCTTCAGGGCCTTCTCGGCGCTGAAATTTATTTTATCGGACCAGAGGTCTTGCCTTTCACCGAGCACACTTGATGACGTGCTGCTTCTGAGATCATGGTCGGTGCCTTGATCATGATCTCATTCTCAAGGCAATGAACATGATCTCAGAAGCAATGTCGTTTCCGCGGATTCCTCTAGAGCGCCTGAATTATCTATTTTGGTGTAAAAATAAACGTTACGTACCTTTTAATTTTTGCTGCGATTTGTTTTTTTTTTCATAGAAAGAAACCGTTACGAACCGTTACGGAGCATTATTTTTTTCGTTCCGGAGCGGAAACGGAACGGAACTTTTTTGTATGGAACGAAAATGAAAACGGAACGAAAAACATTTCGTTCCAACACCCTGGCAGTATGTCGGTACTAAATTTTCTGCTCAAAGACATTTTACTTTATAGAAACAACAGAGAAGATGCAGCGAACTGGTGAACTTTCAACATCTTGAAAATCCGAAACCGAGGAACAAGAAGGGGACAACACATACACAGAGGTCTCGGATTTTCAATGTGTTGATTTAAACAGTATTTACCGTTAAATGGACCATTAAATGGACCAATAAACTCTATCTGTTCCACGAGTAAAAAAAAATGTGAATCTGTTTCTGTTTATAAAAAAACACTGCCCAATCTGCTTTTTTTTATTTTTATACAACTTTAACAAAATGCGACGTTTCAGTCAAAATCAAGATAAATGGTGAACTTCACAACCCCTCGAAAGCTCTTGTAAGCTATCTTCCACAAGAGCCCATCTTTCATCCATGTCATGGCAATTTGCCCCTGCGCCATGAATGAAAAGTATGTGAGTAACCGGGATCCGGCCAATGAGGAAGCTCCAATTTAGGAAGTGGAGCACCCTTCCCTTCTTTCTGCTTAGCCAGCCTCAAAAGTCAAGCCTTAATGCAGAGTGGAACTTTTAGCTGCACAAGTTGGAATGCCATGCGACAGGCCCGATTTGCACAATTTCCTAGAATTTTGTAGAACGAAAAAGAGAACTTAAATTTTGTGTTTTAAAGTAGATGTTTTAGATAATCAACTCTGTTTTTTTTGTTTTTTTTACCATTTCCTTTAACATAATCCACATGATAAAAAAAAAATCAGGAGGGTTAAATTTATTTGAAACTAGGAATGGTGGCCACCAGGTAAAAATTATGAACAGAATATAAATTCCGTTCCTAAGGAATGCCGGGAGACTTTGTATTCAACCCGAACTCGCTACAACTGGATTTGGGGCATGCCTACCGAGCGAATCAAGGATTCATTAAAAGACGTCCAAGCCCTATAGACGTGAGCATGATATGGAGTGCACCTACGAAGCAAATTCAGGTTCCGTTAAAAAGGTGCCTCAAGCATTACAGACATGGGAGTGTAGTACAATGAAGTGCTTTGTTCGCGTAAGCGCTCATGCACCAAAAGCAACCTTTTCTATCGCTATTCCTTCGCACCACACAAACTCGATCACTAAATCGAACTACCGTAGTGCTCATGAAACCTACGAGCTAATGCAGTGTTGGGGAATACTTCTTGTACATTGTATTTAAAGTTCTACTTCAAGGAGGTTAAAAATACTTGTACTTGACTTGAAGTACATTTCTCGAGTATGTACTTGTACTTTCCTTAAAGTTTTTTTGTTTTGCTTTTTCTGGTACTTCCCCAGGAAAGTAGAACTCCCGACTTAGAAGTATATTTTCTAAATTTGGTCGAGTTAAATTTGTATCACAAAGTCATGCTTTGTCAACTATGAAGCCACTTGACTTCATTCAATATTTGCCACCATTTCCGAAAATAACTGATGCACGCCCGAATACCCCTAAACCCGGAATCGCATCACTCATACATCATTCAAAAGGCAGGCTGCAAACACTAGTCACCTCAGTATCCGTGGTTTGAATGTCGCGTGCTGAAGTTTCAATTCATTGCCATACGGCATTCGAAGCATGAATCTCGCAGTGACTCACGTTCGAATCTGTATGCAGACTGTCTTTTTTATGATGTATAAGCAGTGTGATTCTGACTTAAAGCAATACATACTAGAATAAAAATTAAAAAAAAAGACACTGTATAAGGGAATGAGGGGTCCTCAAATTAATTATACTTCATTTTTAAGTACATTGCATTACTAATATTTGACTTCAAGTACATTGCACCCGATGTACTTACTACTTTACTTGAAGTACATCACTTCTCATTTACTTTATACTTAAGTTACTTTTTAGATGTACTTTACCCAATACTGAGTCAATGTACCAGTGTACAATGGCACACACAGAAAAGCATGGGAATTACATTTTTCGTTCAAACATTTGTTCTGGTTCTGGTTCCTTCAAAATTTCAGACTACTCCTAGTTATGTAACAAGGATGGCACACGAAGACAAGGTGTTAATGCTAAATTAAAAAAAACCAACTCGAGCATTGGGTCTCAATGTGACACACATTGGGACCCAGGGGCGGATGCAGGTATTTCTAGAGCAGGGGATCAGACATCAAGATCAGACATCAGACAACCGAGATGAAACCATTGCCTACAATGCTCGAAATCCTGCAAACAAGGTAAGGGCTATTTATTTTCCATTAGTGCAAGCAGCAAACCGCAAAATAAAAAAGGGGGAAAAAAAAGAAGAGAGAAACACATACACAGAGAAAACAAAATTGTAAAACAAAAAAAGACGCAATAAAAAAACTTTTTGCCCATGGATTTTTTTTTTCTTTTTTTTTTCTTTGACATTGGGTTAACTAGGTAAAAATGTACATTAAGAGGCAAATGAACGAAGACGACTTACTAGCCGACAAACTCAAAGCGAGGTTTGCTGTTATTTTCTCTCGCCGTTTCGACAACACGATTGCAAGAAAAAAATATATATATAAACGGAAACTGCGAATGTTGGCTCTACGCAACCAGGTAAACATTGCGGCCTGACCTCCCCCGACAGCTGACTTGACGGCCACATTCCTGAGGAGGCTTTATTCCGCAAACACGCGAGTAGTGACAAAACTATGTCGACGGCACGGCGGTCCCCAGGAAACCGGTCCGGTCTCTCGGAGACCGATCTCGACCCTTCGATCCCAAACGACGATCGCCGATCTCTCGAGCAAAAAACAACAATCGGAAATCACAAATCCCGTAATCAAGACACGACTATTCCAGCTGAGCGCCCTCGGCGAATGTACTTTTCCCCCCGCTTATTTCTGCCTAGGTACTTTTTAGATCTTTTGTTTCAATCGCGGTAAGTGACCCTACCACGATGGTGTTGTTTGTTTTCGTGTGTAATACTATAACCAAGAGGAAGAAATTAAAGTGGATTGTGCTTCCAGAATAGAGTTCGCCGCACGTTACGGCCTCTGCCCTTTTTGTTTTATTTACCTATTTTTTTTCGGTACGGCGGACGATTTAACGCACGATCGTTCCTCAGCGTAACAAGCATAACGCGTAACGGACAGTTCCGCTGTTACATCCGCGGTCGCAAACTATAACACGCGCGATTCGTACACAACAAGACGGGAATACTCACCGATTTTTGCAGTTCTCCGAGCCATACCGATGCCTTCTCTTTACCCGAGGTGTCAGGATTTTTGTACAACGCGTGCAACGCCTGAACGACCGTTTGTAGCGATGGCATCGCGTTCGCGTCGTCCATGTTTGCCGAGTTGTGAGCCCAGTGCGCTAGCTACGGGTTTGGTGCGGTCATACGCCGTCGAAACGGGCCGGTACAAAACGAAATAAGCTTGCGAAAAGATTGAATGTCAAAACAGTCCCCATCAAATGTTAACCGCCATTAAAGAAAGGTTCGCAGCGACGGAATTTTTATTCGTTTTGGTTTACAAAATTGCTGTCACTGGTTTTGTTTTTAATTATTTTGTTATTTAAATATATATGTCATAAATTTGTTTTAGTACATAATAAAACTTCAAAAATTATTTTGTAACTGCGGTTAACGTTGGCTGCGGTCTAGTTTGTATTCAAGATGGACGACGATGGGCTTCCGATTATCGGTCCGGGTGTCGATTATTCGAAGGTAATTAATATTGGTGCTTTAAAGCTGTCCCAATACAAAATGCATAGCATCTTTGAAAGTAACTTTAAACATGTCGCGCATGCGACGTTTTTTTTTATATCGTGCGATAATGAGATATAGAGCTCTGCCGAGTTAATCATGGTCGTGGTGGGAGTTTCCAGCAGTGCAACTTTTGACGACGTTCAAATTCGTCGTAAATTTACGTCGTAAATTTACCGTGTATCACATGGTGTTTCGGATAAAGTCGCATCCTCGGTCCGTTTTGGCTTCGCTGTTGCGCTTCTGGGCTAATAAATGTGCTAACTTGTCTTTTGTCGTTTCTAGGTACCGCCAATTCAACAGAAGAGGACGTTGGCATTCTTAAATTACTTTCTCACCAGAACTACTTCATTCCTGAACCACTTTGCGTCGGTATGTGACGAGAAATTGGAAGACCTTCTGATCCGGATCCAGCGGCTCGAAGCATCGATGTGTATTTTAGAAGCAAAGGTAACGCATCCGTCACCAGTGCCTTCCCTTTTATATTTGCTCGCTGCCTAGTGTTACGTCCGACGGAACCCGAAATAAAAATTAAAGTTACGTCCGACGGAGCACAAAATAAAAGTTAAGTTACGTCCTGTGTAACCTACGCAACCTTATTGAATGTTTCGCTTTACGGCCGATACATAACGTAAATACGAAAATAACGTGAATTATTGCGGCATTTGGTCCCATACACGGCATTCGTCAACCAGTTAAAATTGCGTCTACATCCATGCCTCCAGATTCGTCAAGGGGGCTGGGACGTGTTCCTCGCCCCAGCGGGCGGGCAGGCCCCGTCACGTAGATTGTTTTTTTTGTTTTTTTTTCTATCGCCTCTAAAGGGGTGTCCAAACAGGACACTACAAAACGCATGACTCCGACAAATCGTGAAAATCGAAGCGGACGCTTTATTTTTACGATTTGTCGGAGTCGTAAAAATTTTTGCAGGAGTTGTGAAAATTTTCACGATCACGACTGCTGTCCTCGCCTCCTCCACTTTTCTCTGACGTCACACGCCACCTGTCTCTGGCTCACCTCGCCAACGACCTCGCGTACCGTTGTTGCCTCGGCTCGAAGGCCAAGGGGGTCCGGCTTCGGGTGGATTTGGGACATTCCTGCGTCCAAGGGTGCGTTTCGCCCGCCTCGGATCTGCTTTCTTTGTAGAGATTCACTTTCGTCGTGATGGCATCTGACGCAGTTCCGTATTGTGAGCGGAGGCCTTCAGCGATTGACCGACAGCCAACAGAGCGTGTGAGTGGCTCTCCGGACCCACGTGATGAGCAGAGCAAGGCCGCCGTGGAGGAAGCGAGGGGGAGATTTGACGGAGGGAAGTTTCCCCCCGGGAAGAATTGACGGAGGGAAATTTCCCTCCGACGGCCGGAAGCGGATCGCGGCAGAGCGCGGCATGATTTGTCGGAGTCGTGAGTTTTGTAGTATCCTGTTTGGACAGGCCTTAAGACAACTTACAGCGATTTATTTATTTTTTTTTTTTTTGTCTGATCTGAAAACATTTTTTGCTATGTGCGACACTCAAAAGAAAAGTAAAGTGAAGTAACATTAACCACCCCCCTTTTTCTTTTCTTTTTTTTACCGCATTTGTTACGCTAGCTTGTAGCCATGTTGAATTGACCTGAGTCTGGGGTAGAGAAGAAACATCAAAACTTAGAAGGGTCAGAAAATAGACAGGACGACGTCTCAAACTCGGCTAACTCGTTTATTTAGTCCACCTCCTTATATAGTCTCAATCTCAAGGTCATCTCCACCAACACAAAAGGACGAAGATATACAGATCAAGCGCCACAGCCTTCATCACACAATGCAAGAACGTTGACAACGTTTACAGGTCGACGCGATAAGGCAACATCCATCCACCCTCAAATTTGAACAAAAGAAACTCTTCCCCTACTATTCTATACACAGTTCATACTTCTGAATCGTAACACGCCCTCTCTACAAAAAAAAAAAAAAACACTGAAACGATAGTTAGGCCAATACACGTAGAAACCCACACAAAGCACAAAAAAAAAAGTTTTACAGGTTTTTTTTTGGAAAAGCAACCTAATTGACAAAAAAAATTTAGACTTTTAGAAAGCTTTTTGAATTGCTTCCAAACTGTAGTGAAGCCTGACTTATGCAGCTGCCTAGAGACTTTATCCGCACGGTCTCCCTTACTACTCTTTTTACATTGTTCCTCTCTTTGTGTATTATTTCCGTCTCCGACTAGAGCGCCGTGCAGTTGTTACATTCATGAATAGGTTTTGCTATTTCTGAGCTTTGTGCATTCTTTACATTTCTTTTCTGTTTGTTTAATCTGTCATTTATGCAGCGTGACCTATGTCCTACATACTTAAATCCACACTCTAATGGTATCTCATATACAACACCAGTCTTGCAACATACGGGTTTTTCCCGATGAGCCTTTTTGTACTCGCTCACACCTGTTTGAAGTGACGTCAGTTTGCTTAATCTGAAATCTGAACTAAAGACAGTGTCTACTCTAAACTGCCTTGCACATGCCTTCAGGTTGTGAGAGATGTCATGAAAATAAGGGATTACAGCAAAGCAGTTCCTTGGTTTCTGTTCAGCGTCTCTCCTGCTTTTAATAAACAATTCTAAGTGCCGTTTTATAAAACTGTCATCACAACCTACACTTCTCAACCTTTTCCATTGCCTTTCTACTGATTCAGTGATATGATGGACACATGACCTTTTTAACGCGTTCCTGACCAATGACTTTAGAATCCCCGCCTTTACGGTCTTCGAATGACAACTCATTCTTGGCAAAACTGGTTTCGATTTTTCTTTGCCATATTCCCAACATAACCCTCGATTTACGTGAATATGTAAATCGAGTAAACTGCAGAACATTATCTTCCTGTTTTTCCACAGTAGACTGAAATTCTGGAGCTGTTGACCTTATTACACCTTCTATGGTTTCTGTTAGACCTTCTCTAAACGTGCATATTAAGATGTCATCTGCATATGTTCTCACTATTGCCGTACCCGGGGACAACTCCTGTAGATTATCGTGCACTGCGCGATCCAAAGAGTTTAAGTAAACTTCTGCTAAAATCGGTGCGACTGATGACCCTATACAAACACCTTTTTTTTGTATATACTTTCTTCCTTCGTACTCCATGACTGTTGACTTCAGATAAAACTCCAAAATTGTTAAGAAACTTTCAACCGATATACCCGAGCCCGATTGGAACTTAACGAGATTCAGCTCCAATGCCTCCCTCACACTCTGCATTAACCGGGTATTTTCTAGGGAGTAATACAAGTCTTCGATAACACTGAACAACGCCTCCCATGATGAGCCTCCAAACTGCTAATCAATTCATTTGAATTTCTAAGTGATAATGAATTTGAGGGTGGATGGATGTTGCCTTATCGCGTCGACCTGTAAACGTTGTCAACGTTCTTGCATTGTGTGATGAAGGCTGTGACGCTTGATCTGTACAACTTCGTCCTTTTGTGTTGGTGGAGGTGACCTCGAGATTGAGACTATATAAGGAGGTGGACTAAATAAACGAGTTAGCCGAGTTTGAGACGTCATCCTGTCTATTTTCTGTCCCTTCTACGTTTTGATGTTTCTTCTCTACCCCAGTCTCAGGTCAATTCAACATGGTTAATATTCACCAGCTCGCCTGCACCCTTACGATTTTTTCTAGCTTGGCTAGAAAGCTTTCTAGCTTTCTAGCCCTTGCTGGATCATGCTGAGAGCAAAGTTGATATGGCTAAGGGAAGGGGGTCTATTGTCATTCTCACACCTGGGCAGCTCCCCCAAACAGCTCTTTATTTTAGACAGCATGAAAGAAAACCCGGCCAAAGATAGGATGTGCGCGTAGCAACTATTGCGCCAGTTTTCAACAAGTGTGCCGGAAACCCTGCTGCTCTAAACAGCACACAATCGTATCGCATTACCATTCTATTTCTCATACTAATTGGTTCAAATGTCTGCGAGTGCTCAGAAAGCGTTGTCGGCATAGGCATCTGGCTCTAGGTACTTTTTTCCCTTCCATTTTGTGTTCCGTCAAGCATACCCTTAATTTTTATTTCGTGTTCCATCGGACGTATCTTTCATTTTCATTTCAGATTCCATTGGACATAATGCTAGACACTTTATTATATTTATGGCTTTACTTCATGCACATTTCATGTCATTTTATTATTAGTATCGGTATTGTTATTAAATATATATATTTTGGTGTTGAATCAACACAAGACATAAGCATTGTTGTGTGTCCCAGCAATGATGGCGTGACTTAGTTTCTTTGGGAGGCCGCAATGAATCAGCGCTGTAAAACAAGCCGGAAAAATCGGCGCAACCTATAGAAAGTTTAAACTTTCGCCGAGTGTACTATCATGAGCAATGTGAGCAGGAACGCCTTCGATGCATGCTGCGCTACCTTGGGACTGATAAACTATAGTTTGTTTCACCCTACATCCAAGCGCAGCGGATGCTACAAGCCATCGGAGACAATCGAAGGACGCATGAGTGTTACGTGACCTTGGGGAGGGCATGCAGTGACGCACGGGGACATTATCAGGTGCTACTATAACTGAGCTGGGATTGGCTAGGATGGCTCGTAGGGTCCGCTGTGTTTGGACATCTGTTGAAATGGAGTATACATGACTTGCACTGACGTCACATCATCCATTTCTCACCACCACTGAAGAGAGAGAGGGGAAAACTGCTTTTGTATGAATTTTAAATGACTGGTTAATCTTCTATAATCTTCTAGAGGGAGAATAGCAACATCTGGCCAAGTCTGGGACACATAAATGTGAGTCCTGGTGAGAGGGTAGTTCCTCCTTCCCCTCTTCTTTGGTGGTGGCCGGAGGGCTGACGGCAGGATGACTTGAGGTACAAAGCATGTATGGTGGAAATGGAGAACTGTGAGGGCGTGCACATCTAGGTAAGTGCACACTCTCGCAGCATTCTCTCCACTTGACAGTTTTATCAGCCTCGAGGTGTCGCAGCATGTATCGAAGGCCACGCATTCCTGCACTCCCTGCTCATACTGTTCGCGATTGTACATTTAGGTGGTACGTTTTACCTGGTGAAAAATTAGAAGAAACAGACTTGCCAGGGTCAACAGCGGATGTGTTTGCAGACGACCGAGCTAGTGGTTGTTGTAACATCTCCCAATAGGTACAGTGAGCAGACAACACCTTGTGTCGTCTGCTCGCTGAGCCTATCGGGACGTAGTGCCTCAAGTTACGACCATCGCTAAGTTGGTTGTCTGCAAACCCGTCTTTCATCGATCCTGGCAAGTTTCTTGTTCTCAATTTTCACGGGAAGGGGGCTACACCATAAAAAAGAAAAGCCTAACTGCTCATTTAGTAAAAGTTTGAGCCGTCTGTGTACGGGCACTGATTTTTTCGGCTCATTTTACAGTGTCAGGATCTATTGTGGACACCTTATATTTTGAATAGGTTGTAAATTTTATGTGCAAGTTCAGCAGACTTTCTTAAGGTTTGCCGGTATATATGTATGTCTCACCAACAGCATGACAGTGGTTATAGTAAAATCTACCTTTAAAAAATATTCTTAACTTTTCATTGTTTGTTTCTTGCCAGGATTGGGCAGAAATACTCAGAAATGTATTTTGATATACAAATACTGGGATACATTAAAATAGTAGCTAAAATACTGATACTAAAATATATCTGTAAAAATGTATCTCAATACATATCGGAAATACATTTTAAATAGAGGCAAAATGTATTTGGAAATACAAATACAGGAATACATTTTAGCGAAAGCAGAAATACAAATACAGAAATACTGATGCCGCAATACATTTTTCAAATTTGTTTGAGACGCCAACTAAGATGAAGCTTGAAGTTTGAAGCGGAAATTTTTGATCCCGAAATTACTTTCCTCGTAGGCTTGGCACTTCGCCTTGAAGGTAGTAGTTTCGGACGACCAAAAATCTTCAATAACCTCAAAACAAAAAAAAAAGTTCCATCAAGGACTGATTGCGGTCCGTTCCCTGACATCCTGTCTGTCTGACGAAAAATGCGAAAAGGCTTCGACCTCTAAATAAATTCTGTCACCCTAAATCCCATCAAAACGTCACCATGCCCCTGTCCAAAAAGAACGCCCTTTTCAGCATTGATCGCATGACGTCACAGTGGAAAGAACTGGCATTCTTTATCTGTAGGTGTGGCCTTGAACATGAAACTTTACGACGCTGCTGTATGAAAGGACAATACATACTTTTGTTGTAAGTTACCCTGTTGAAGATCGTGCAGGCAGTGTCAATTGGAATTTTTGAGAATAGTGAACCACCTGAAGCATCCTGGAACACACGTCTTATCTTCTGTTACGGTTGAAAAAAAGCGATGCGGTGGCATCCCTTTTGTAAAGGTCCTTCCTGCTGACCCTCCATCACCCACGCATGGATGGCAGTCCTCAAGTTTCGCCTAGCATCATCCAAACATTCACATTTGTCCCCGACTACGCAACACTTCTCAGAAGAGAGAAGAGGACGCATAGAAAAATAGTTTGGAGAATCGGAAGGAACTTTGGACAGCATAGTAACAAGGTCCCTTAACCCTCGTACCCTCTAAAGAAAAAAAAAAAGAAAGCGTTCAAACCTTTTTTTTTTTTTTTTTTAGAGGGGGAGGGGAGAAGCATTTCTCAAGAAATGTAAAGAAATACATTTCATCTTGATTGTATCGCAATACAAAGAAACATTCCAAATGTATTTCGATACAGGAATGCAGATTCTGGTGAAAAAAATGTATTGCGATACAGAAATACAAATACGAAATGTATTTCTGAAATACTATTGCGATACATTTGTATCGCAATACTGCCCAACCCTGTTTCTTACACAGAACTTGCTAATGCATTTCTTATTGAGTTGGTTAACCTTTTTATCAAGACTTGTGTTCTTGTCCCAAACAGCTGGCTTCCATTCCCGGCCTCGAAAATGTCAAGGCGGACCCGGCGGAAACGCAGAGGACAGCAACCAATCAGAGTGCAGCACCTAGCAAATTGGCACCCACTTCAGCCAATCCGGAGCATGCACCCGACACTCAGGAGCCAAGTGCTACGACAGTAGTGGTGGTGGAAAACAATGACACAAATGTTTCCAAGACGCCGGTGGAGCCCTCTGCCACACCTCTAAACACGGTGTCAAAGGATCCTAGGTTTTCAAAATACTTCAAGATGCTGAATGTTGTAAGTTGCGTGCACGGGTGCTGCATTCTCCTACGACGAAAACAATTTTTGTTTTCTTTTTTCTTCTGAGAACCTTGACAGTATGGAGTGTCCCCTCCAAAAACAACTTTTTGCTTCTTTAGACTATTTTTTATTAACCTGTTTACCAAAAATTGCTTCTAATTTTTGAAGCGGTTCACAGCATGCAATGAAACTTTGTCATCTAGTCTGGATGGCTAGTGCTACATTTTGGCAGAGACTAAGCATTTGGCTATGCATAGTTTATTTAAGCAAGGAAAACAAAACACTGCAAATTGTTTGTGGGGAAACCCGATACATTTCTATGCTTAGAGTGATTTCCCAGTCAACAGAAATGTGCACCATGCTTTTGGCACAAGGAGAAAGTTAATGTAATTATAACTCCTACAGAAGGGAAGGAAGTTAGGACTGAACCTCTTTTGTCTTTGTAATTTTTAGTTCTTCTCCATATCCTGGATAAAGACAATGTATATGTGGGTTTCATATTTTGCAAAGTTCCTTAAATGCCACCTTTTATATTTTTGGGGGAATGGAGTTTTACGATCTGGAGAAAATCGGTCATTGGGCCCCATTTGTGGGCATTATATTAACGTAATAAATTTTTTTATAATTTTTGTAATGAAAGTTAAGTCAGTGAAACATATCAAAGTTCATTCAGAGAAAGTGTTACTCCTACCAGTTCCGTCGCCAATATTGCAAAAGCAGAATGGTAAAAACACTTGTCAGAAAATTGAATGTATGAACTGGAAATTCTGCTAATCCGACTTCCACTTTGCCACTGGCCAGACGCTGTGACGTCTGTGAAAATTATTCATACCATGCTTTTTGCTATTTTGTACCACTACAAAGAAAATTCTTGTGCTTTGTAGTGTCATCTAGTATTGTAATGTTTATCTTTGTTTTCGTGCATTTGTTGCAGGGTATTCCATTGGGTGCTGTGCAGATAAAGATGAGGTCAGAGGGTGTAGATCCTGACATCCTTAAGTGAGTAATTGCATTATATTATCACTTGATAAACTGGCTCTCTCATTCTTTTTTATGTTGTTATTAGAAAGTTTTAGCAGATCGTTCTGATACATCCAATCTACTATCTGATCATCCAATCTACTAAAGCTCCCTATTGTACCTGCCATCTCAGCTAGACTTATAGGTATTGAATGGAGATAAATCTTCTAGAACTGCCTCATTGGTAATATTGAACATATCTTTAATCTTCATTATCACTGCATATGATCTCTCATGTGAGACACTTAATTGACACTTCCCCAACTTTTATTGTGTGCACACATATTTGTTTTTTTCATTTGTGTCAGTTATAGTAACCACCTTCCCAATTCATGGAGTGATAGAAACGAAATACCATGTAAAGGAAATAATAATGTGAACATTGAGTTCGTTAAAACAAAGTTACATGTGCATATACTTACGGGAAATGTGGATCATAAAACTACTGGGAGGTTTATCGTTTCTTGTGCAACTGTTGCAGCAACCCTGATGCACCGGCACCACCTAGAGGGGACTCATCTCCGTGTCCGGCCGACGACAGCAACTCAGAAGACAGCAGCTTTAGCGACTGACACTGATAAATACCTAGAACTATTTTTGCATTCCCACATTGTGTATATTGTGCTTTACCTTGATTTCCTTGTTTGTTTTGTTTATTTTTCATTGTTGTTCAAGTTTAAAAAATAAACTGTGAATTGCTTGCAATATACATAAATGTTATAAACAGGGTTTTGGTTGGATCTGATATTCCTTCAAGTCCCTAATTTTTAAAAATTGACATGGAAAGAGAGTGTGAAGACTCTGACTAGGACACGTGCTGGTGGCATGACACATGGTTTATGTTTAGTCATTGTGACGAGTACAGAACAAACAAGGGTTAATGTTTCATGCAAAAACCGTTTTGCGTGCCAACTTTTCTAAGCATTTGCTTAATTTTTTTTAATGATTATTACTTCAGAATTTACTTACTCTTGCAACATGTTCAATACTGGAACCATTTCGTAGTGCTGCTATTTTCTGGAGTAGCCATGCAAGCACTTAATTTTTTTTTTCCTTTTTCGTGGCATATAGATAACTGCAATCTTTGTAGACACTTGCATCATGGTTATGAAGCGAATATGTAAACGGTTGATACGGTAAAAGTTTTGGCGCCTCTTCACTCATCTGTAAATAAATTAGCCACTAGTCGCAAAGACATTTTGATGTGTAGTTTTTGGGGAATGAACTGAAGGTCATGGAAAATATATTTTTCTATTTAGTTGAGTTTTCCTGTGCATCCGTTTCCGAATGTACGTTTTGTTGTTGATGGCTTCCTTGGGACTTTTGAACTATATATTTGTACATTTGTAAAGTTGTCTCGCTAAACCTACCAATAAACCTATTTTCCCATTCATACCTCGGTCCTTCCCAATTATGAGAACAATGTTGGGTGTTTTAAAACAATCCTAGCGAAATGCTGCAAGAAACCCAGTCTTTTCCGCTGTTTTCCTCCTCTCTCTATCACAAGCCGTTTGAGACGCCGCCAGATCAAAACTCTGCCTTTCTAGATTGTCGGGGATCTTCGTGAGTGGTTTTAAATGGGGTTCCCCTGATCTTAGAGTGTATGGTCAATGAAATTTGGAACGTGTATTTTGGAGTTTATCTTTCATAGCAAATATGTTTTAAACCCCGAGGCTGGGTGGAAACGTGAAGATAAATGAAAAGAAGCAGAAGGAAGGTGATAGGCACCCGTCTCAATTTTTTTAGACGTTTGTCACCTTCTGTGTAAGTCCAAGTCATTATGATCAATATGCACCAGCACAAATGCACGTTGACCTTTATTTGTTTTTTTAAGATTGCTTGTTTATTCAAGCTTATGGTGATTGTGTTCCTAATTCTTTGTAGCTATATTTACCCTCACAAATGCATCAAATAGCAGATCATTCGAATTGTGAGCATATTCACTAGAAATCTGTGGGATCATAGCTCTCGCTGGTGCGGTGTCTTACCCCGGGTAAATGACTGTTCACACACTTGCGATTCTTTAATGCTAAAATACAGTGGCACGCTGGCGCCATCTTTGCTCCTCATCGAGAAAGACAATAACTATTTTCTTTTTGCTGACAAGTTTGAAATAATGTATCAGAAGACATACAAGAAATGCTCAGCGGCAATCAAGCTTATTCCGTATGTGCTGATGAATGTACAGGGGCGTGTGGACGCGCAGAGCCGTTGGGCGTGAATGGTCGTTCAGTCCTCGGCACGTGTATTCGCCATATTACTGCTCACGATGAAAACTCTTATTTCCCCCTAATATATTTAGAACGTTTGCTGTGTTTATAGGTGCAGTAAACGTTTATATTAATGATGAAGCGAATCTGCCGAACTTCAGATTCGGCAAAGATTGGAAAATGCCGAACTTTTGAAGGAAAGTTCGGCATAAATTCGGCAAACGTCTCGCATGCGCGAGAACGCGACGGCGCTGTGGATTGCAAATGGACGCCGTGCGGTCGTGCGTTTACCATCGTACAGTGTAGTACTGCCAGTGGTTATGGCGAGGTGCGGAGTGGGCCACATGGTAACTGTGTGTTTGTCAGCCTTTGTGAGTGTGATTGCCTTCAATCTTTTCTGCTTCAAGAAGAAAAGATCGACCAGAAATGGGCGCCAAAACGACGCAGTCCACTCCACAAGTGACAAATGATGCGGTACATTTGGAATAGCGTGATTTTCATTTGATCTTTCCAGTGATGCAACGAGATAGTTGACACATTGACTAATAAGCTTTAAAGCACTCCTCGCCATTATAGCAATCCTGTTTTCGGCCCGCAAGTAGTTTGTGCCAAAACAAAATAATATTGAGCGCTATTTCGCGGTTGTTATTTCTGGTAAAGGCTCAAAAGCCGTTGCATTCATTTTCGCTCACGAAAGGGGGGCTCGCAAAGGGAAAGGCGGTAACACACAGTGTTACAGCCTTTTTTTCAACAATACAAACTTGCAGGCTGCGGTAATGAGGCCTCAAAACCGAAACTCGCACATTGTGGCTGCGCAGACCCAACCCCGTTGTAAATTACACAAAAAGTACACCGATACAATCATATTGTAGAAGATCACCTTAATTAGTAATAACTGTGCCAATGTGCATTAAAAATAAACTCAAAAACTTTTTCGCACGGAAATACGATATGACAACTTTTGGGTCTAGCGACAATGTATTTTTGCCGAATCTTTAGAAAAGTCGGCGAAAATTCGTCTTTGCCGAATCCGAAGATTCGACGCCGAAATTTCGAGTTGGCAAAATTTCGGCCCATCGCTAGTTTACCTCTCTCTCTATATATATATACATATATACCGATCCAAAAATATTGTCACGACGAAATTAACCACTGGATGCATTTTGAAAAGGTTTTATAAAATAGTAACCATGACCATATATATATATATATATTTTCTGAAAAGTTCAATGGGAAAATGGAGCCCATTTTTGCCTGTTTTCGGTTTCTGGTGCCACAGAGCCCCATGTGTTTGAAAACTCCGTCGGCCGCCATTTTCCCATTGAAATTTTCAGAAAATCACTTATAACTTTTGATTAAGTTATCGGATCGGGCTGAAACCTTGGCATCTGGTTGTGTCCTCTATCTCTACCTTTGGGCGGAGAATTAGCGTCCGGCGATGCCTAGTTTATTTTTACGGTAAAAAAGACCGTGTAAATTTTCTTTTGTGACACCCTGTATATATATATATATTTTTTTTTTTTTTTGTTTTGCTGTGATGAAAACGAGGTGATGCGCGAGGCTTTTGCACATCGCAAAGCCTGACGTTTCGTCGCGGGGTGCGCGTGCCGTGGAGAAATCCCCGAGATTTGTCCCTCGTGTGTCAGCATTAAACTCTTGATATTTAGACTCTAGGTGAGTTATTTGAACAAGGTTTTCAATTATACAGTCCATATCTATTAGTACCGTAAAATTAAAGCACCCCACCCCCTCCCCTCCCCTCCCCTCCAAGCAGCAACAGAAAAATTCGGACAACCCCCTAAAGCTAGAATGCTGCATAAACCCCTGAGTCCCCGAACCCCCTCCCGCCGCCCTCTTGTAAGTGCTATATGCTTTTTTAATTTTTTTTTCAACAAGGGTACCTTTCGGTAGAAGGTAGTTGATGGTACTGTGTAGGGTGCGGAAACATGTAGGCCCTTAGTACTGTAGGTTGGACCATTTTGTTCTCTTGTGAATGTGCATTGCCTTTGAAAGTGCTTTGAACAAAATTTCTGAGTTGAAGGTTGTTGAGAGTGGCTGTTTGACAAGTAAACGAGACAGGAGAGTTTGAAACACTCCTCTATGTCCGTTCCCTCGCGTAAAAAATCCTGCGCAGAAAAAAAAATTTTTTTTACCGATTTGCAGCACCAGTTAGCTGAGGCACTTCGCCTAAATACGCAAAGAATAATTCCGATGCGAGCCTAAATGACCAACCCTCAAGCCTCAAATGCCGCATGACACCTCATTTTTGTACTCGCCGAACAGTCTCACTTTTGATTCTTAAAGGGAAGGGGGATAGCGCGTACGCCAATCCCCCACTACCAAAAATTGCATGTCCCATCTATCTCAGTTTGAGAAAGTGGCAGGGGTCAACACGGCCGGAGTGCAATGACCGCGACTCGCCCTGGGGGCTCCGCCTCGCGGATCACGGATTCCCCGACGCCAGGTAAGTATGAAGAATGTTCGGCTTGAAAAGTGAGGTCTTCCTCCACGGGGTAGCTGTTTGTCCCAGTGAGTTCCATCTCAAATATCTCAAGTATTGCATTTTGAGTTATAGCAGAGCTCATATCTAAACAAACACTATATGAGTCGACGAATTTAGAGGCAATCTCTTATATACAAAATTCTTTTATACACTTACCATCGTTAATATTAGATATAAATGTCCCACCATTCAATGAGCTGCTGCTGCTGCGGCACCCCGATAAAACGCTTGAGGCGGACTTACAGCGAACGCGCTTCGTTTATCAGAGATACTTCGTAGCAGCCTCCACAAGCTGCAGCTGTGAGTCAAATCAGCAGGTGAGCCCGTTTTCTACCGTGCACGACTCTTTTACCTGAAGGAAGTGACGTCATACAGCCGCTTGTGGCAAAAGGGCTCGTCATGCCGTTAATCTTGGTGACCTTCGTTAAGAGAGGAGGTTATTGGCGACGTGCATAATCGAAAGCGTCGCTGTGGTCGGCCTTCCACAATTGGCCGAATGCTGGCTATGACGTCAGCAAATGATTTCTCATCGACGGAAATAAAAGGAATGGGAGAACTTTAATTTTGACGGTGTTGGCAGTGTTGCTTTGAGAGCGCAATGATTTCAGGCAGTTGTTTTTACAATTAATTTAATATTCCTCACATCACTGACACTGTTTTATATTATCAGCATGTGTGCGTTTTATTATATTCAATTTAGTTTGATTTAACTATGTATTTCAGTGAGGATAGTTTGTCATACTTTGCCTTGAAATTGCCATCCTTCACCCCACAAATGTTTCGAAATATCCGTTCTCTATACATCTGAGGTCAAGTTCCGCACCCCATCAAATAAGCATTAAAAAAGAAATGTTGATATTTTTATTTATTTGAGAATTCTCTACCTCATAAACAATGGACCTTGACGAGATAAGCGGTAAGACCCCTTTATAACAATGGTCTGAGATTTGAAGGATAATTGCGGTGGCATTTTCCCGATCAAATTGTAAAATACAGCTTTTTAGGAGGCATCGGCACGTCAACATTGGAAGTTTATCGGATAAATCCGCAATGGTCAAAAGTTTACCGGCGGGTGTGTTTCGGAGTTTTTCGGAGTCCGAAAACACGGAACCGTACTTTTAACGCAATTTCGTATCTAGACTTCAGAATGTGTTTGGGATCGCCTTCTATTGTGCTGGAAGAGGCGCGAAGAAAGAAAAAGACACAGTTTATTCAAAAGCACCTTGGCGTGGCTAACCTCCATTGCTGCCGAGAAGCGCTTTTTTTTTTTTTTTTTTTTTTTCCCACGAAAACGAGGGTATAAATGCTTTTCCCGGCACTGTTCCTACAATCTACCACGGAGCAAAGATTGCTACCCTTTGCAAAGACTCTTTCAACTTTGAAGCTGTGAAAAAATTATCTCGATCGCTGGCACCCAGAAAGCCACTTCGCGACTTCCCGGGTCGCTTGTCCGCTTGTCCGCCTGCCCGCCGGTGACGTACGCGTGTAGGGAAAAGTTGGGATTTTTCATTGCTGCTAGTAGTCTCGCCTCCTAGAACCCTCGCGGCTGGCGTAACTTACAAATAAAAAAAATAAAAAACTTTAATTAAACGTTTTGTTTGTATAAACTATTTTGTCTATTAGTTGAGAAAGGGTTATTGATACGGTCTGTCAATTTCCAGTCAAATCGAAGACTATAAA